AAAAAAGTGCCAGTGGTTTTCAATTTGAGAAACATGGAGAAATAGCAAAACGCAAAAACTTCCTTTTCAATATATGGTTCGCATCGGAATTAAATTCGCTTGTAACTATTCAGAGATACCAAAGTTGTGATCATATGCACAAACTTGTAGCTTCTTCCCCTTTATGTATTCAGGGGAGATATTTAAGAATGTACTTAAACCAGAAAAGAGAATCTATGATGGTTGGGGGTTGTGTCTGGGTTAAATATCAAAAATGAAACAAAATGTATAATATGTCTTTTCGGTCATGTTCAAATACACCACCTAATCTGTGCATGATGTGTCAGGCTGAGATTGGCTTGACTTTCATTTGGACCACGCCTTTCAAGTAAGTGCAAAGTGAATCGGGACGAGTCTGAAAACATGACAGTGGACCAGTGTCGATTGCCCCTGTATCGACGTTGTGTAGGCCATTGACATCTGTTGGCAATATGACGATTTGTAAGGGGCGGCACAACACGTGGCCGTCGAGCATGGAGGTGAGCTGAATGTTGACGATTTCTAATCGTCCGACCCATAACTCCTACTCCAGTAGCCTCGTGAACGTGTGCAGCAATTGGATTCGCCGTTTGAGCTCGATTTCGCGGAGTCTGGTTTCGGAAAAATCGATCCTGTCCTCGTGTGGTTGAACTGGGACGCCCAGAACAGGGTGCATCGTCAACCTTTTGGGTTTGTTGAACCCGTTCCGCAGTCTGCTGATCACATACAGTAAACTACGGTTATAACGAACACGCTTATAACGAACTGACGGATATAACGAACTTACTTTTTAGTCCCGACTATTTGCTGTGGTTATGCTGTGTATATGCTTATAACGAACTACGGTTATAACGAACTAAAAATAGTAGTCCCTTTGAGTTCGTTATAACCGTAGTTTACTGTACTGTGAAACAGTAACGTACGTTTTGGCCTCTACACTGTGACTTCTTCCGGCGCCCACCATGCCAATAGCCCATATACGTTCAGCGCGTTACAGACGCCGCACATACATAAACTTCATACAGAAACAATGAATTGAATCAAGTAAATCACAACTGTATGATATGCTGAATCAATAAGATGGACAGATATAATGGTCAACTGAGATTAATCGAACTTCCTTGTAAGTGGTGATATATAGCCCCGTTTTTATATCGTGTCGTATCCTAGTAATCATGTTCTACAACTAGTTTTAAGTCAATCTGTGATATAGTGGTAGTTATTATACTGTCCTTCGTCGACAGTTTTTATCAATATTGTCTAACTCGTTCAAGTCACATTATGGCTGAAATATTGCCGACGTGACTTTAATTAAACTCACTCACTCACTCACTCACTCCTTGTAAGTGTCAAAATCAGGAATGACACTCGTCGCACGTGTGTGGCGCTACTGCGTGCGACACGTGCAAAATATAAATGTGTTTTTGTGTGAAGTTTTGCAGACAGAAATGTTCTTGCAAAGGAAGTTTGTCGTCAACACAAACATCCCTTACCTCTTTTGAAGAACATATTATATTTCTTCCCTTCTTCTGAAGGCAGAACATAGTTGTAGTTGCAATTTCGATCACTGTTCACCAGCATAATCCGATTTTCTATTCTTATAAGGTAAGTTTAATAAGCAACTATTTCTAATTAATCTTTCTCCAGCGGTAATGATGGTATTTATTCCATCAAATATAACAACTTCAGTTTTTGAGATATTTTATGTTATCCAAAATTGTTATCATGCAATATTCACCAAAATGGATAATTTGCTAAATAGATTTCAATATTTAGTACTGATACTAGCACTCACAAGTCTGACAATAGTCCCATGACGAGAGTTCCGGCCAGCTGCCCAGCAAACCCATCCATGTTGGAGTGGGACCGCAGAACAAGGTCGTCACACACTTTGCTGAACTGATACAAGAACATAGAAATTGCTACGCCTAACGCACATATCACCCAAAGGGCAACGGGAATATAAATAAGGGCAGGGTTTTGTTAATTAGAAACGTCGTCATGTTCAATGAAAAAAATATTTGATGACATCAATCATTCTTGTAGGTACAATAGTTCAGTCAATTCCTAGTCAGACTATTTGTACTGACCAACATATCTCACATGTGGAGTGAGTGAATATGGTTTAACGCCGCTTTTAGCAATATTCCCGAAATATCACGGCGGGGACACCAGAAATGGGCTTCACACACGTGGGCAATCAAACCGGGGCGACCACAAGGCGACTCCACCACCGCCCCCTAAAATGTGGAAAGATATCCTACTTCGAACATTTCATCAAGATCAATTCATACCAGGTTTAGACACAATGGTAAACTTCTTGAAAATATATGCATTGCTCCTTAATGTGTTATCAAAGGAAATACGTTCGGTGAGGATTGATCTCATGACTTATTATGAGTGAACACTCTACTAGACGAACATTGGACATCCCAACCTTTACACATACTTAACAAAACAGTTGGGGATCATGAATATTTTTTAGGATGTTTTTTCTAGAAAACACATTTAATGAAACATATTCATGATTCCAAACTGTTTTAGTTCAGTATATATCATCACCTTTGTGACTCTTGATATTTGACAGTATTTCACTCGCTATTTCTGTTTTCAAGCTGTTAAACTTTACATTTCTTGCACGATAAAAATTGGGAAGCAACCAAGGAAAATATAACATAATCATCATTGACGGTATTCAATGAAAAGATGACCTTTTCCGTCAGTGTTGATTCATACATGTACGTGCACCGATCAAACACCCATGAGGTGCACGGGGTTGTCAAGTTGTTGGAGAGGCTGCCATTTTGAGGGTGCTGGTACAGTTTGCAGGAGGAGAGCACCTGTTTGTCTTTGTCAGTCTTCCAGGGGATGGACATGTTGATGAGGGATGAGTGGTGCGCATCCTGCACCTGATAGGTGTCATTAAGTCCCAGAGAGCACCTGTACGATTACCGTTAAGGTTTAGGAGCCGAAAACCCAAAATCACTGTCAGTGCATGTATTGTTAAAACACAAAAACCTAGAGAAATGGATATACATATACATGTGGTTGGGTATGTCCAACAGGAATATTACATGACTGCATGGCACCAATAAACGAGGGTATACATATTAAAACGCACAATCGCTTTTGATACCATCCAAATTCTCCCAGATGCGTTAGAACCTCGTCGAACTTCATTTTATCTTCATGGTCAGAGTAAGTCCTTTCTCAAGTGACACGAAGGAGACAAGGTCATGCAGTCTTCCACAAAAATGGGGCGGGCGTATGAACTGGCTTAAGTATGTACGTAACCTACTTTCATGAATATACTCATCAGAAAGAGGGGATGCTGTGTTGGACCCCCCCCCCCCCCCTCTCTCTCTCTCTCTCTCTCTCCCTCTCTCTCTCTCTCCCTCTCTCTCTATCTCTCTCTCTCTCTCTCTCTCTCTCTCTCTAGCACTTAATAGCCGTTTAAGTGCTGTCCCACTGATACTATGCCGTGGTTTAACATGGATTCCCAAATGAGACAGCGTATACTGACTACGAGCCGACCAATCCTTGTGTTATCCCTTTGCGACAGGCAGGATAATAACAAAAAAAACCTTTTTATAGATCTGAGTATGACCTTCCGCTCTCCGAACAGAGGAGATGTTTAAGAGCAAGAGGATTATAAAAGGTTTAATTTTAAACACTATCCGTCAACCTGCATAATTATATTACAAGTGTGATTGGGGATACAGTCTTAACGAGAAACTAGGCATATTGTCTGTAAACATAAATTGTCAATGCAAGAGAATGACCGTCCTAGATTTTCTGCCGTAACAGATTCCACATGGCGTAAAGGGCAAATAGCTGTGGAAATTAAATGAGGGCATCACTGAAAATCAGTGATGACACCAGGTATTCGCGAAAAGGATTAACACGTCCTGCCCTACCGGTAGCACCCGCCATTCATAATATAAGGTTCAATATCAGAAGTGGTCAAGATTTAAATACAAGTAAATGCTTACACAATGCTTAATAAAAGTTGGAGTAATCACGTGAGTTTCAGAGGCCGCATGCATGTCCTTCGTTCCGCGTACTGTTCCACGTTGTGGCTTGGACAATGGCTAAAGATGCACCGAGACATTGGAATAATAACGTCGTATTGTCAAATCACTGCTTACATAATGGCATTGGGTTGAGTTTTAATTAATTAATATTTATTCTTGTCAGTTAAGGATTCTTCTTAGGTGTTCGTCACACTCCGGCGCAGTGGTGACTCAGCATAACACCACTGCCAAAGGCTAATTTGCATATCACGTGACCGGACTTTTCTCTTGTTTGTGAATCAGAATATTGAACAGAAATCAGAATAGAACGGACAAATGCAAGCATTTGAGGGCGCTTTACATATTGTGTTGCATGATTATATAAATATGCTACTACAACTGCGACAGTGAGTTGCATGACAATATATATTTACAAAGTGACGGTATCGCTAGCTCGCCGTAGGGCTTCGATGACAGAACGTGGAGCCGTACAACCAATGTAAACATAGGATAACTACGCAAATGGAAATAGTTTTTCACGATTTAGGATATTTTCTCAATGGAAGTTAACCATTCTGTGACATATGTTTATCTAGATATGTAGACTTGTCAAACATGAAACAGATGAAAAACATATGCAATATCTTGAATGGACTGTGTAAGATGTGACGAATCGTCACATGGCGCTGGCCTGTGGCACAGGTACCATGCTGGTCGCATGGAATTCTGGGTAGGAGAGTGGGTGTTCCTGTGTGTTCGAATCCCGGTTATGTTCGCCTTATTATGTACAAAGTTTGTCAGCACCATACCCATACAAAAGCGGTAAACAGCTAAGACCTTTAATAGTGTCCATGGGTTTCTTTCCACATCAAGCTGATAACTGGAATACCGTTCTAAGCGACGTCAAACCCAGCTAAGTCTGTTTTAGGTGCTCCGTACGTAATATCAGTAACAAAACCTTTCGCCACACACGTTTCATATATTTTATTCCATATTACAAATGTATCATCACCTGAGCCTAACAACTGATGCAGCCAGAGAATAAAATACCGTCGTCAGAAGGTCATTCTTCTGTCAACTGACTGGACACCAATGCAATCATTTGTCGCTAACATATAACCATACCGATTATTTAGAAACTGATTACGCACACAACATACTAGTAGTTATATATAATGTGATGACCGTAGCTAATGCATGTAATGATGTTTTCTGTTTGAAATATACAGTAAAAGAAGTGTACACTGAGAAGCAATGAAAAAATCAAATCGATTCAATCTTGAACTTGACTGAAATACATGATAATGATACATGTGATCCTAAAATCTGGCTTCACTTGATTTGAATTTTTCCAGTTTGACATCTGAGGAGTTCGATTTCTCGGGGATTGTGTCCAGCGTGTAGTTTGTCTTTCTTGCTCTGTGAATACATAAACGTGTATCTTGAAGAGGTGAAATGTTGAAATAAAGAGTATAAAAAAGTACATGAGTACTTGTACGTATGTAAATAGAAAATACTACATTCTTTTGGTTAGATACCATTTATACTAAACTACTGTGTCACACTGATAACTCTGTGCATGAAACACATGAGGTGGCTTCACTGATCTCTTATATTTGGAGATCAGTTGCGTAAACCAGTGGAAGGCTGTTCAAACATTATTGAATGATATATTGGATATACCTGACGCTTAGGTTAATTTCTTTGGGAGTAAAGATTCAAGCAAAACCCTTTGAGTTTTTGAGAATCAAAATGGTATTAATTCCACTTGTCTCAACCACTTTATGTGAAAGACATCCGTTGATTGTGTCAAGAATTAAGGAAATTTTTGAGACAGGGATTTAGTGGTACATTTTGCTGAACCAAATATCTATTTTTTAGCAATATATCTATCTTTGTACCGATCTTTATGGAGCTTTGGGGTGTAGTACAAACGTTGAATGGACATGTCTTTAAGTTTTAGAGTCAAAATTTGTTGGTACTGATGAGAGCTTTTGTCAGATTTGTTCCTCTTGTCATGAACAGAAAAAATGAAATGACCATCTCGAACAATTGCTGTGACATAAAAATTCCAATCACTCTTTGGATATTCCAGACTTGTGTATAACTTGTTGTTGAAAAGTTGTTAATATATCAGCATTAATGAATCAGTCGTTGAGAACATGAACTCCCCCTTATATCGCGGTGTGCCTCCTCAATGTTGGAGAAACGCTGAATGTAGTCGTACAGGTCGTAACAGTTCACAACTTTGATGAAACTAATAAGCGCATGTAAGTCCCAGACAGACCAGTATCCTGACACCACTTATGGATGCACCATCTCACAGTGAGATGCGGGGACTTTGATCTATGGGTTTTAGGACCCTTTCTTTCTCTCTGTTTTGCGCCACGCTCAACAAATATCGTTACTCATCACTTTAGATACCATCAAACAGTCGGTGTGAAGCTGTTACTGTGAGTAACAACTACAAAGATTGGGTGAATATATTCAGTCTTTAATAGTCTTCAGAATTTTAATATATATACTAGCTGTGCTATTTTATGCTGCCTCAAAACGTCTGTTGACGGATATTAATATGCTTCTGCAACGTTTTGTTACGTCCCTGCATTTACCTGAAGGGTACACCATGCTCTCGAACGATGTCATACTAGTAGCATACGCCATTATAATTGCCATTAACAATTATAAGATGAGTTGTGATGCCACAACAATCCATTACACTTCCATCCCCAAACTGACGACCTTGAGTAACGCATGCAAGCATTGCTATGATTTTCTGGACGCCCGTAGACCCTGACACGACCATCAGAGCTGTCCAGATGAATGCTGGACTCATCTGTGAACAGTGTACTGTCCAGTCTTGTCTTTCGAACCTCAGATGATGTCTACGCTAAGCCTGGCGTGCCCGACGGTGACATGGAAGCAACATTGGGCGTATCACTGGATGTCTGGTCGTAGTGTTGTACTCTCAACCGGTTGCGTACGGTGCTGCCACTTAATCGATTCAACGGATTCAACGGATTCTATTCCGTAGATGCACCAACCGTATATGGTAGTCTTGTTGGCGTGACGTCACACGTGGACAACCGACCCGTGAGAAGCGATGAATGCTGCCCTGTCTCCAAAGAGATGATGTTGTGTTTCGGATGACGATTGAAATGTCTGGCATCTTCGTTTTGCGACATTCCTTTTTGCAGCATACCCCCGGCACAGACGTGGATTTTCAGCAAGGCATTGCATTGAGTAACATTATTTACGATTACACAAAAGTATTTTAATGACCACCTGACAGCTAAACAATGATTGTATGCTGTTCACATTTTAAAAACACGTGTTAGGGTATAATGCACGCGACAAACACTCAAACATGCACGCGCAAACTGTGAATCACGACCACAAGGACGAGGTGATGCTTTCCTGAATATATTTTGAAAGATGCATTTTTTTTTTTGAGAATAAATGTATTTTTATTAAACGTTACATGAAGCATAGTTTCATTTTTCCGTTAGTATATAAAAGCTATATATAAATAGAACTTACTGTCTTACAAAACAATGATGATTTCAAATCGTTCTTTAAATGTTTTCATTTATATCAGCTTTCTCATCCACACAAAAGTGTGATAAAAGGGTATTTTTCGATATCAGTATTATATATTAACGTGACTTACTTTCGCATATTCTTTGCATCCTCTATTGTCTCTGGAAGTCTTCTTTTTAGTGTCTCTGGGAGGAACAGAGCCAGCACACCCGCGGCAATGGATAGACCTCCAAACACGATGAGAGGTAGCGCCACCTTCAGGTCACCGCCAATTAATACACCCTAAAATCGATTAAAACACATCAACATTAGATATCACCATAAGTCTTTTTTTCAAAAAGCAAATTGATAAAGAAACAACAACAAATAATTTGCATGTCTAATATACCAACGAGGCTTCACTTACATCATATCTCAACACATAACTACTTATAGCTCAGGATACCTGGCTGGTGAATGGTTTTCAACTGAACTCTTTTCAGGCAATTTTCCAGCAGATTGAGAACTGCACATCGGAAATCAAGACATGCATGACTAGGGAAATGTTTAAGCTGAATGAGGATAAAACTCAAGTTTGTTGGCAGATAAACCTAACTCAGACAATCTAAACATTTGATTAGGTATGAAAGCTTGTGAAGGACCTTGGTGATCTCGGTGACTACCTTTGGACCTACAAGTGGACAATCATGTTTTTATCACCTTTGTGTTATTCGGACCACCAGGAAGCATATCAACAAGGCCAGTGCTAACACCCTTGTTAGATGCCTCGTATTGTCCAGATGGGACGATATACTGTAAGAGTGTGTTGGTGGGACAACTTAAGAAACTCCAAGGAAAGCCACATCACCCCAGTATTCAGTTACTTGCATTGGCTTCCTATTAAATTCCACATTGATTTTAAGCTTCTTTGTACTGTCGACATCTGTTTTCACAACCAAGCCACAGCGGGCCTCTCAGAGCACCGTACTGAGTACACACTTGCCAGAAATATAGGCTATATAAATATATTTAGGCTTAAAAAAGAAGCCGATTATCACACGATCTTACCAAATCTGCAATGTAAGGGGAGGCCATCCCTCCAATCCTTGCACAAAAGGAACTGACCCCGACTCCAGAGTTTCGCACCATGGTAGGAAACAGCTCAGCCGTGTATACGTACACGATGGCAAATGATCCAGAGGCTCCGAACTTACCGATCATGGATAAAGCGACTGTCACCCAGTCTAGTGCTGCGAGGTAAGGATTAAATAGCAATTAGGCACACATACTTTGTGTCATGGATGAAGTATGCAGATCCTAACTATTATATCCTATACATATTATAATGAAGCATCAGTATCACCCACTTGGCGCGTTATGAATTATAATTATTATTATTATTATTATTATTAATATTATAGATTAAAATCAATAAATGCAACAAAGTGGGGCTGGTTAGGCTCATCATCAGCTCAGGACCCTTGCCCCCTCTACACGCAGCTCAGACAGCCAATGGGACTTCTCCCAGGAAGCGCTGCCAAGTCCAATCCACCCGGAACCTTTCAGAGAACGTGTAGATTCCCCAACACTGCAGCCTTCAGGCACCTTTGCTTGAAATTACGTTCCCCAGGACAATCATTGTGAAAACGTCAAAAATCAATTTTGAAAAAAATGAAAACAAATTATAAAACGACAAAAGAGAAAATCATAAATCAAATTCTTAAATCCTTGAAGGTAAAGTTAACGGTTTGGACAGAATAGAAAAGGAAAGTTTTCACAATTTCATTAAAAAAACAAATAAACTGTTCAAATCTAATCTAAAACCGTTTTACGGGCAATTTACTGCAACCAGTGGTTGTCATGAGAAAAGACCCACCACATGCATTCCAGTGAAAGAAATTCAGGGTATTGACTTCATGTCATACAATAGATCCTACCACTTTAGCTCTTAACTCAATCGCTTATGTTTACCAGTTATAATGGGAGGGCGTGGTTTGATTAACGTGGAGGCTCTTCATGATAGAACTGTTTTGTGCACTTTTGCACACATTTATTTGTCTGATGATGCTCCATGTCAGCACCCATGATGAAAACAAGACATTCCACATATTTCTTAAACGAGTAAAGGATGTGGGACATAATCTCAATGTCAGTGTTGATTTTGTTGATGGTTCTGTACTGCTGGACGGTACGGAAATGAGTGTCAACCAAGCCAAGTGCAATATCAAATCGGCCCAGACTACGATTTTCAAGGGGAGGCTATCTGAACGACCACTGTATCGAAAAAATGCATGACTCTTTGGAATAGGCCCATATACAGCCTCAGACTCATCCAGGCCAACAGACCTGATATTGTCCTCTTCGGTAAATCCAATGAAATCATTTATATCATTGAATTCTCTGTCCCTTTTGACACTAATGTGATCGACAAGATTCAGGAAAAACATGGCAAATATGCGGACCTCACTTTCGAAATGTCACGCTTGCATCCCAAGTACCAAGATGTCCGACTCCCCATTGTTCTCAGTGCTTCAGGTTTGTTACCTCCCAGTCTGTTGACTGAACTTGGGAAAGTATCCGGGTTTCCTGCCGGGAATACAGCTCTTCTGACAATTTGGGTAATGCATTATGCTGCAGTGTTGAGGATCACCCAAACCCTCTTTACTGCATCTATATCTTTTAATCTATAAATAATCTTATTATTATCCCAGACAGGAAAACGGAACTGCTCGAGTCTTATTCGGCGCTGTTCGTACAACTTACACGAATCTCCATAGATGACCGGGAACAGTGTTGCCACACAAGCAATCCCGCCCACGAGCATGCAACCACATTGTAGAAACTTCCTTCCGAGTATGTCCAGCAGGGATATACACATGATGTACGACACGAGCTCCACGATGTTAGCAATGGTGAAGTTGAGGTAGATGTCGCCGCTGAGGTTCTGGACGTTCAAGCCCAGACCATAGTAAACCATACTGACAACAAACCTGCAAATGGCATTTTACATCCGAGATTCAGCGTCAAAATATTATTTGATTTTGATATTGTTCAAAACGGGGTTCAAGAAATGTTATAAAACACGTTATTATTCAGTACATGATCAACGTTACAAATTCTGTCTTTATGGCGGTGAGTGAGTGAGCATGGTTTTACGCCGCTTTTAGCAATATTCCAGCAATTTCACGGCGGGGGACACCAGAAATGGGCTTCACACATAGTACCCATGTCGGGAATCGAACCCGGGTCTTCTGCGTGACGAGCAAACACTTTAACCACTAGGCTACCCGACAGGCCCGTAGTGCATTGCTCATATTAAAGATGACGATCAATACACCGGAACTGATCAGTACTTTCTGATTAAAGTAGCTTGGGGCATGACATTTTCGCCTTTTCTCAAATTGATTTAATCTGTTCAGAACCTACACATTGTACTAATGTGTTTAGATCCTCAAATAAATAAATTCGACAAAAGCCTTTCCATATTCATAAGAAATATCTGCGAAAATGAGAGTAGACTACGATTCCGACTATATCATGAGCATGATTTCAAAGAAATGTGAAACCACATTTGAAGAGTTGTTTTTGTCTCACCAGTTGTAGAAGATCACGAGTGTGATGAACAGCAGATACGGCGTCGTGAACATCTGTGTCACCTTGACGGCCTTCTTGTCATCGTCTATGGTTATTTTCTCCAACATCCCGTCCGGAAGTGTAACGCCATTAACAGACGCCACCTTCTTTATAATTGCTTGAGCTTCCGGTATGCGACCACGTGATATCAGCCATCTTGGAGATTCGGGAAGTATCCTGTTCCGGATATCGTACATACGCTATATAAATATATTTTTTTTAAATTATTTTTTAACAGAGGTATATGTAAAATTATTCACACACAACACCACCAACACATATTATTTGTTTTTCTTCCTCTGTGTTGTATGTATTTTTCTTTGGAAAAAAAGATAATTCTAAACGAGGTAGGAGAGCTTACCAATAATACAAAAAGTAGAGAGCAGTGGGGCTAGCGATGATAAGCTGGAGTGTTTGCCAGTTTCGGACAAAGTAGGCGATAAGACCCAAGGCAAATAGACCAATGCACCAGTAAAACTCCACGATAATTCCCACAAACACTCTTCTGGAAGGTCCCGTCAACTCCATAGCTCAAAGAAATAAAACAAAGTATGTGTCAGGATCCAAAATTAGACTAAACAAATATTATACAGCCATGGTAGTGGTCATGTGCAGTCTTATAAAAATTCAGTGCAGTTCCTTTTCTGATAATATAAAACATCAAAGCCAGAGAACAACGAGTCTAAATCATCCGCCTGAATCAGGACAAATGGTATGTCAAGATAGCCAAATAGATGACAAAGGTTAAGTTTCTTTGAAGACATATTATATTGTTAAAGCACTATTTTTATGCAAATTGAGTGAATGACGGGTCATACCGGAGAAGCGGGACATATGTACAGTGTTCGTGAACACCTGGTGCCAACACAGACATTCAATGATCCATTCACATAAATGTTTTTTAATTATTTTACCTCTTTACGCAGATAACCGAGACCGATTATTCTCTGGCGTCGACGTTTTATAGTTTCACGATTGTTCGGATTCCCTATGAGCTAATTCAGCAAATTAAAATTTATTGACATTTCTTAGAAATTGAACAGTTTTCACTTCATCATCTTAACCATGAAATAGCTATTAATAATAATTTTACTCTTTAAAGTGACACATGGATAAAATGGTTATGAGCACATATTTACCCAAAACGAATGAACTTGTGAAACAAGCAATCCTCGTCATATTCGACAGCGCTCTGAGCACCATGAACACGTATACGTTGGGGGCGTACGCAGTGCTGATGCTCAGAATCGCCACGCTTAAAGCATTCAACATGAAGACGGGTCGGCGCCCAAATCTGACAAAAAAAACAATCTTCGTTTTGTCGTATTTATACGGTTCACAATACCACTTATAATTATTGCGTTGCTGGGGGGCACATGTGGCCCAGTCGTCCAACGCGCCGTTATTCGCAGTGCAGAGATGCGTCCCTTAGGTACGCCAGAAACCTGTGCTCGAATAACACACAAAGAACATTTTGTAAAACATTGATCCAATTAATTCACACTTCTATCGACTATGCGATAATAGGGTACTTGGAGCCATTTTTGTCGCGGAATTCAACCAATGTCAGCTGTAGAATATCATACCATCGACTAAGAATAACTGACACGATTGAATCTTAATACGAGCAAGGTCTTTAACATATCATGTCATCGGAAGTGGCAGCACTCACATGTCCGATAATAGTCCCATAACGAGGGTCCCAGCCATCTGCCCTGCGAATGCCGCCATGTTGGCGTGAGACCTCAGTATACTGTCTTCACAGACTATGCTGAACTGATGAAACAAGACAGGAACGTATGCATGTTAGGGATGAAATGTGTTTGCAAATGACAACAGCCTCAGTTGATACATGATAGAGAGGAAGCGGTGCGGACATATGTAGTATATATATATAACCTCATCGGTTCAGGAAGAACATGATTCGTGAGAACAGGTAGATTTACGTCAAATTTGACTGTACACTGTGTTAATATTCACTGCTGATTTAAATCACAATGAGAAAAAAATGAGAATTTTCCTTTTACGTTTCAATGCAATAATATTACTGTTTTAAATTTTTCAGAAGTCTCTCACCTTGTTTTTTGTAATTTTGGAAGTAATTTATGTCATAATTTGCTATTCCATAGTTGATCTGCTAATGCTGTGTCTGGTTCAGCTTCACTGTGTTATTCAGACACAATATATCAAAAGAAAAATCAACCTTCAAACATGTAAGCCAACAGTCAAATTCTATTTGCTTTAGAGATGCTACCTTCTCGATTAGTGTTGATTCATACGTCGACCGATCAAACACCCATGAGCTGCACGGTGTTGTCAGGTTGTTGGAGTGGCTGCCGTTTTGAGGGTGCTGGTATATTTGGCAGGAGGAGAGCACCTGTTTGTCTCTGTCGGTCTCCCAGGGGATGGACATGTTGATGAGGGATGAGTGATGCGCACCCTGCACCTGATAGGTGTCGTTCGGTCCCAGGGAACACCTGTACAATTACATTGAAAGGTTTAGGAGCCGAAAACCTGGACGACAGGTAACCCCATAAATCATACGTATTTTGGAACGTCAAAACGCGTATGCCAAAATCACTGTCAGTGCATATATGTTACAACACAAAAACATAGAGAAATGGATTATACATACTTGTGGTTGCACAAGGGAAAATCCCAATATATACAAAATATACAATTTTGAATATTTGGTATTTCCAAAATATACAATTTTGTACATTTGGTTTTTTACCAAAATATACAATTTTGTATATTTGGTATATCCAAAAATATACAATTTTGTATGTATGGAAAGATTTTACCACTGCTTCATTGAATTTCTTCACACCTTAGACAGGGATTCTAACAATATGTGGTTGATAATGAAAATATTACTAATGATACAGAACAGTGTTATTGCATGTAACAATAATACTTTAATACTATTTTCATTATGACAACTATATTTGGAGTGTCATGAAATAATTTGTATTGCTTTATGTTGACAGCATTTTACATAAGAAATAGAACATTTGTGGAGATTTTAGTAACTGTTAGATCAATAATATAAATAATACCTGTATAAGTCCGAATATTTACGGAATCAATGTCATAATAAGCTAGAGGTGCCTCTACCAAGTTGTGTTCCATTCAACACAAACTTTGGATGGGAATCAAGAAACAGTATCAAACGTTGAGTAAAAGTTAACTAGTAGCTAGCAAAAGCTGTCCTACAAGTAGCACCTGGCACTCTAAATAACATTTAAAATTGTATTCCTTCATTGCAAGATGTTGTTCATTTGTGTAGTTTCCTTTTGACAGTTTTGTTATTTTGTAGATCTGACCTAGAATCTATCTGGTCAGTGTGACATTATACATAGTGAATGGGTTTCTGGTTACTACCATGTAGAAAGTACAAATGTAAACTGTCAGGGTAAAAGAACTGACAGACAGTTATATTCTGTTGCAAATACGATATTGTTTTCTATGAAATATTGGGGGTGTCTATTATAAAATATGACGTCATCCACGTCACAACAGACCATGTCGTTCCACAGTGAGGGTAATACATGCACATGAATACATCAAACCTCTAAATATAATGCATTCATTACGCAATATGTGATATGCTTTAAATGTATAACAAATTGAGTGAGGGAGTTTGATTTAACACCGCCTTAAGAAAAAGTTCAGTTATATCAAGGTGTCAGCTTGATGTGGAGAAAAAACAAAGTGATAAAGGTCTGCCAGTATGGTGTATGCCTAGAATCATGATCAGGGCACAACGGGATTTCGAACTTACGATCACAGGTGTCTGACACGCCAAAGGGACGCAACTGGACGACTGGGCCATCCCTGACCTTGGATAATATGCATCCCGTAACGGGATTGGGGGGTCAAACTCGGTGACTTGGTTGCTGCATGTCATCGTATCGCAAGTGTGTAGATCGAAGTTCGTAATGTCAATCACTGGATTGTCTGGCCCAGCCTCCAATATGTACAGATTACCGTCTTATAGTTTGAAAATTGCTGAATGTGGCGTTAACAAACAAAAATAATCCCCAACCACTATATTCTTAATATGCGCCCGTTAAACAGCTGTAATGTTTATGTTTATGTGTTAACTTTGTGAAAATGTACAAAATGTCAAACTTCATGTAGATATCCAGATTCTCTGTCATTTCGCATACTTGTGTATGGATGACCGCGAACAGAATGTACTACTCGGAGGAAAGGCCCGGTGCTTGAGCTTTAAGTCAGCTCGCCTTATTTATGCCAATACTGGAAACTCGTCAGTGTACTTGTGATGTTAGTGTTGGAATCCAAACACACTACCAGCAGAACTTGTCAGCTAAGACAATGAAATCTATTTAGTCAAAGACAATGAGAGATAGCAGAACCATACATGCTTTAGTTTTAGGTTGAGAGTTGTCCAGACAAACTAACTCTTGCCCGAAACAAAATGTGCACTTGACATCAAAGTTAAAGTGAATCTGAGTGGTATTGTGCTTAGACGTTATTATCGACAGTATCTGAAGCACAGTTAACGCATGATATCTGTGTCCAGAAAGCCATCGACTCACACTATCTCTTGTGAGGATAATCTCTGAAATATATTCTACCGGTTTATTTTGAAATCGATTAGATTAGACATTACAGTACATTACTCATGGATTTCACCACAGCGGTAAATAGCTAAGATATGCATCACTTCGAGCTTTCCTCCAACATAAAGCTGATACACACGTGCTATAACTGGATTATCGTGTAAAGTGTCATTTAACCAAACTTATTCACACTGCAAACACAAAAACGTCGGGTTTTTTCCGTATATGTCATTGGACGGATAAACGACGTTATTTAGACGCAAACGAATATCAACCGGCTTTTAAAACTTATTTTTGTAGAAGGTGATCTTGGTGTAGATATTATATGCATATACATTTTTCCGATATTGCTTATTTTAATGTTTATTAATAGTTTTAATATTCGTCCGCCTAATTGACGGGATTCCACTTTCTCATTTGTACATGGCACTTAAGCAGTGTCCTGTTACTGTAAACAGATTAGTTTCAAATTCCAAACTGGTGATGTCCATTCCGACTAATGATGAATCTCTAAAACTGTATAGTTTTGAAAGAAACAAGTAACTCAATTTAAATTGAAGAGGAGACCCAGTTATATCGGATATTCCGAGATGAACCTATTCTATGGATATCTAAGCTGCCACCCAAACCGATCCAAACGGGACCCGAAAGCTTATTGTATGCTATATAGTCAAATGCAAGTGCACCAGAATTATACATTGTATTCTTAAAAGGAGAGGTGTTGAATTTAATTATCAAATGTTGCCTATACACTAAACTGGACGTACTACACATTGTTCCATTTATGTCATCCTGTATATATACCAGATATACATTAACGCATGTTACCGTTCTTAAGTCATACTCTCATATAACCTAATATTGTTCATAGTATCAAAGTTTAATCAACCATATCAAGAGCAGCAATTTAAACTACTGAAATACCCAAACACAAGGTTCTTATCAAGCGCTAGTGCAGACGTGATGCATCGTAAAAACTGTATCGTGATGTCTTCAGAAATACAAGTTCTTGCAACATTTATACTACGAGATAGTAAGCCTAACGCTTACTCACCGGTGGAACGTAGACAATATCGCTAATACAGATATCACGTATTTGAAAATACAAACACTCATTTTTTATTTTTTTTTGCAGTGACGATTCAACACTTATACACGTTTATTGGTGACTTTCATCAGTTTTGCTATTCATTTTAATAACTCTTTTTTCACATATACAGTTAGCAATACCCGACTAGCCTGTCATACATACTTATGGGGCAGTTTCAATCGTGTACTGACTGACTCTGATGTTCCTGAGCGAAGCCTATTGGCTTGGGTGTTATGCCCCGTTTTTCTGGTAATCCTATTATTACTTCATTTTTATCTAATGACACCCTGTTCTCTGGATCACGGCTCCGTGACTATCCATAACAATTAAGATGAACATTCAGATCAAGTACATGAATGAGTTCGCCCCCCCCCCCCCCCCCACACACACACACACACAAACACACATACACGCACGCACGCACACACGCACGCACGCACGCACGCACACACGCACGCACGCACGAGCACACGCACACACACATACACACACACACACAGACCTCTTTACAGGAAATACTGCTGACAGCCTCTGGTCAACACCGCCGCGCTACCACAGAATGTTCGTCCAACTCTGCAGGGGGCATTCTCAGTAGCTTCAAACGCGCTGAAATGTTTTCGCCTTGCATCCAAGATGATGGACAAGTGAAATCGTATGACATTTGGCTATTTTAGGTCACTATTTCTTTTTGGATTACCCAATAAAGTCAATTCATAGTAACACGGTTGTGAAGAACCTTACAACTTCATAACACTTATTCATCTCCATCTCCAATAGAGCTACTCGTACTCACATAAAGTTGTAGTTATCATGTCACTTTTTTATTTCTTTAAAAATATATTACGTGTTCATCAATAACAATTAAGATGAACATTCAATTTCCGATACAAGTAAATGAATAAGTGTGTTTTACGCCACAATCAATTCTTCAATTCTTTATTCATGTACATGTGTAGGCCAGCGGCCCATGCTACAATATTTGGTCCATCATTGACAGTTATATGCTTAGTGTTTGGAGTCTAACATTCATAGCATGGTATATAAAAGTTGCAACATTTCTAATAACAGTTTCATTGTTTACCGCCATAAGCATATTGAATTTAGCAAGAGTAGGATGTACAAAATACTTCTGTGGTAAATACTAAAGACGAAGTTCATCATAAGCGTTACAAATTAATAAAAAATGATATTCATTCTCGACATATCTTTGGTTGCAACTATTGCATAATCTCTGCTCTCGTGGAGTATTAACGTATCTACCAGTCTCAATGTCTCAATGTGGAGAGTGTGGGAGCTACAGCGAAACTGGGCTAGTGCAACACGAAATTTGTTGATAGTGATAGCAGAGAAATACAACTCTAGACTAAATGAATTTTTGAAAAGTGTATAATAAGACCAATGCCAATCCTGTTCGTAAGCAAATTTTAACCGATCTTCACATTCGGAAATAAATGATTCGGGGCAAATAACATATTGGTTCTGCTATATATATCCAAATCCAAGGCTGTATAAAAGAGTTTTGACTTTTGTAGCCCAATTTGTTTTACCATGTGTGGCTAGCTGAAATAACATATCATAACTTTTCTTAGGATATCGTGAATTTGGGAGGGACATAAGTTTACACCAATATTTTATACAGCGTTTATACGCAGAAATGTACAGTGGGTATCTTCCACACTAGCCTCGCACAACATGATTGGGTGTAGACGTTTTAACACCTAGCAGACGTTTACAAGCAAGTACATGGATACTTTCTATTTCTTTACAGTTTTTACTTTACACAATCAGTCAAAGACCA